CCGTCTCCCCCGGCCCACAGGCCCACCTCTCCATCCACACTCTCGGTGGCCATGCACTTGTGCCCCGCTCTCTCACTGATGCGGTCGATCTTGGGCGCCTCCATGCGGCAGCTGCAGAGGGGCAACTCCTCGAACCCGCGCTCCGTCTCCAGCGAAGATGTGTCATTGGACACCCCTTGGGTGGAGGAAAAAGGAGCTGAGGGGGGCCCTGCTCCTCCCTGGGGGGACCCTGGCGGGTCCTCTCACTCCCCCCTATCTCTCCCTCCATGCTCCAGAACCCCCAAAGCCTGGCCCTGGACAGGCTGGCTCTGGTGAGGTTCCCCTCCTCCCCATTCCCTCCTGCCCCGAGGGCGCCCCCTAGTGGCTCCTTGTCCCAGCAGTTGGCAATTACCAGCGTGGTTGGGGGACAGGGTCCCCTCGCTGGGCAGCTCCAGGGACCCCAGAGGGACCTCCATGTACTCACTGGGGCCTGAGGAGCCCACACCATTCACTCCTGACACAGAGACAGAGAGAGTGAGAGTACGAGCTCACGGCGCCTGGGGCGTGGGTACATGCGGGCGTACATGCGTGAGCGTGTATGTTCGTGCATGCTCTCTGGGGCTGGGAGGGGCTGGAGGAGGGGACCCAAAAGCAGAGGAGCCCCCTTACCTCGTGGCTCCTTGGCCCGTGGAGGCTCCCGCTTCCGTCGCTTCCGAGACGGCTTTACCCACGGGCTGTCCTTCCGCCATCTCTTCTTGGCCTTCCGCCGGCCACTGGAGCCACTCTGGGGAGGAGGGAGTTAGGGACCCTGGACGCCAGCCCTGCGGGCGCCCCTCCTCTGAGGACTCAGACCTCTGGCCCTCGGTCCCTGCTCCTCTGGAGATGCCAGCCCTGGTGCTTACTCTATCTGACTGGTTGCCTGACTCCTCGTCTTCCTCCTCCTCCTCCTCTTCCTCCTCCTCCTCCTCTTCCTCCTCTTCTTCCTCCTCCTCCTCCTCCTCCTCTTCACTCAGTTGTTCAGCCAGTGCTTCGACTTCAGACTGGGAGAGAGACAGAGTGGGACTGGGAAGACAGCGACCCCCAGGCCACAGCTCCCCCCGGGGAGAGCCTGGGTGAGGCAAAGCAGTGCATGTCCAACCCCAAGGCTCAGACGATGTGGAGGGATAAAGAGAACTTCCCCCCGCCCCAGGGTGGCTTCCTGGAGGAGGTGAGTGTGCTGGGAGGAAAGGGCTGCTCAAACAGCTATGAGGGGTGAGCCCCATAGCACGGGTTAGGTGCTGCAGAGGGAGCCAGATCCCACGTGGCTGGCCGCGGCTCAGGCCCTAGGCTATTAGCGTGGAAGACAGGCTGGGCGTGCGCGTGCCCGGCACTGAGCAGGTGAGAACTGCGAGGTAAAAGACCGTGTGTAGGCCGGCCCCTCGGCGGG